GCTCTGAGCTGAGACAGTATAGCTCAGGATTACAATATTTCTAGACTAAAGACAAAGAACTGCAGATGCTGGAAGTCTGAAACAGAAACAGACTGAAGAAACTTCGCTGGACCCAAAACATTAACTCTGCTTTCTCTCCGCAGATACTGCCAGATCTGCTGAGTTTCTCCAGCAATTTCTGTTTTTTCTTACAATATGAATCTTAGCCGAAAACTGAGCAGTTTCTCCCTTCAAACAGAAATGCTTCATAATCCCCCAGCTCTCTATTTTCACCCATGCTGATTAGGTTGCAAATTTTTGATGTCAGGCAGGGTTAATTCAGTTTTAAACACTTCGTACAATGTAGACATGTTGCACAGCATTTACCCAGCTATGGCACTAATTCCAACTCCGGAGTGCCATAACTCTAAAAATCAAAGTGATTTCTGACAGGGATGAAGCTTTTGTGAGCTTAAAGCTGATAAGAAACCCCGTACTATTTGAAAGTAAACTGCATGACTTGGAGAGAAATGAAATACAGAGATTTAACAAAGTGACCATTCGCCAAGCTGGAGTGCAAACCAGCGCGCAGACGCAGTTCGGCTGTCGTTTGGTGGAGCGGGAGCCGCTGTCCGGAGCAGACGCAGTGCCTCCAGTGGGCGGGGCTCGATCTGTACCTTTCGGGAGCAGCGCCCATTGGGAGGCAGGGGGCGGGGCAGCTCCCCGAGCGGCCTCTCGCTCCGGCCAAGAGCCGGTTGCCCTGGAAACCGTGGCTCGCGGACACTGGGTGGGGGGGGAATGCGGGAAGGTGATTGGTGGGGGTGGGGCCCCAGTAGCACCTCTCCTGGCCTGCGGCCTGGAACCCGAAAACGTCACCGCCAAGTATCGCTTCCTATTTGCTGCGTCATGCTGACCCCACCCTCTGTCGTGGACGTCACAATGCGGAAGTTGTCCAATGAGCTTCAGAGTGAAACTTCCCTCCTCTGTGCAACATATGGGAGCAATGTCTCTCCCTTTCCATTTCTCATCCTGGGAGTACACTTGCAGCAACTGAATCCAGGGAGGTGGATGTCTGGCCAGGTTCTCCACCTATTCTGAAAGGTATTGACATCTCTTATTGTGTTTATGGGAGTAGTAATTTAATATGGGACAGAGGTATATTTATTGTGTATTGTACCATTCAGTATATTTATGGTTATCAAACCCTGACTTATAACTAACGCTAGTCTTTGAAACAATGCTGTGATTATTATAGTGGAAGTATAGACAGTTCCAGTCACAGAATAATCTGAAAGTCCCTGCTAACTCTCTGCCAAGCCAACAAGTCCGTAGTATCCTCCCTCTATATCCCTGTAACCCTGCAAACCTATTTGTTCTACATGTCTATCCAATCTAATTTTGAAATTATGGACTCTCTCCACGTCCTCCAACCTTAGAGGCAACTAGTCTAGAATACAAAGATTAACCGATGAAATTAAGTTCATCCCCACTTTCCCCTGTAGATCAATCATGTGATATACTTCTGAGTCTTACGTTTTCAGTCTAGCCTTACAGCCATATTCGCATTACAGTCATACAGTGTAGAAACAGGCCCTTTGGCCCACTGTGTGTATACTGACCAACAAACACCAAATAACAGTAATCCCAGTTACCTGCATTTGGTCCATAGCTGATTATGCCCTAGCATTTTAAGTACTCATCCAGATGCTCCTTAAAAGTTGCAAGAGTACCTGCCTCCATCACCACCTCAAGCAGCACATTCCATATATATATCATCTTCTGGATGAAAGCATTTTCTCCTTTAAATCACTTGCTCCTCACCTTAAGCTTATATCCTCTGGTCTTTGACGCCTTGGCCATGATATACTTTGTCTGTACCTCTCATAATTTTGTATTAATCAGATCCCCACTCAGCCTCCTCTCATCCAGGGAAAACAAACCCAGCCTAGCCAGTCTTTCCTCATTCCTGAGACTTTTCATCCCAAGCAAGATCTGTTGAATCTCCTCAGCACCCTGTCCAGTGCAGTCACATTTTTCCAATAGTGTGGCGACCAGAACTGCGCACAGGGTTCTATCTGTGGCCTAACCAATGTTTTATAAAGTTGTGACAAGACTTCCTTGATCCAATATTCTACACGCAGGCTAATGAAGACAAACGTCCTGTATGCAGCCTTCACCATCTTACCTGTGCTGACACCTTCAGGGATCTATGGACTTTATATACCAAGATTCCTTTGTTTCTCACTCCCTACGGACCTGCCATTCATTGTGCATATCCTTCCCTTATTAGACCTCCAAAAATGCATTGCACTTAGCGGGATTAAATTCCACGTGCCATTGCTAAGCCCAATTTACCAGCTGATCAAAATCAGCATGCAACTCGAGACCATCCTTCCCACTGTCGACACCATCCCTAATTCTTGTGTCATCTGAAAACTTACTAATTGTAAGTTCTACATTCACATCCAAGTCGTTAATGTACATAACAAACAGCAAGGGTCCCAGCATTGATGCCTGTGGTGTACTGCTGGTCACAGGCTTCCAATTCCAAAACAACACTCCAGTATTCACACTTTGCTTCCTGTTTGTTAGCCAATTTTGGAACCGGTTTGCCAACTTGCTTTGGATCCCATGGGCTCTTACTTTTTGGACCAGCCTTCCATGTGGGAACGTGTCAAAGGCCTTACTGAAGTCCATGTAAACCATATCAATTGTTTTACTCTTATCAATCGATGTAATCACCTTTCCAAAAAAATACTGAACTAAATTGGTGTCCCTCGAACAAATCCATGCTAACTATCGCTGATCAATCCCTGACTTTTCGGGTATTGATTTAAGCCTGTCCTTGAGAAATTATTGGTAAAATTTCTCTACCGCTGACATTAGACTGAATTGGCCTATCCTTGCTGCCCTTCTTGAACGAAGGACCCACATTAGCTATCCTCCAGTCTTCTGGCACATTGCCCGTGGCCAGTGATGTATTAAATATCTCTGCTAGAGTCCCAGCAATCATCATCTTTGCCTCCAATTGCAGCCTGGGATATATTGTATCAAGCCCTAGGGATTTATGCACATGTATACGCACTGAAATATCTATCACTTCCTCCTTGTTCATCCTAATGTGTTCTAGAACCTCACCATCCTAACTGATAACCCCAACTCTAATGTCTTTCTCCTCTGTGAATGCAGGTGAGAAATATTAATTGAAGACCTCACCCAGATCCACTGACTTCACACAGTTGTGGTATAGTTGATAGTGAAGACGTTTATCTAAGATTACAAAGGGATCTTAACCAACTGGGCTAATGAGCTGAGGAGTGGCAGATGGAACAAAACCAGAAGCTGCTGGAAAAGCTCAGCAGGTCTGGCAGCATCTGAGACGAAAAGATCAGAATTAGTGTTTCAGGGTTCCGAGGAAGGGTCACCGGACCCGAAATGTTAATTCTGATTTTTGTTTTGTCACTGCTGCTGCCAGACTTGCTGAGCTTTTCCAGCAACTTTGTTCCTGATTTTTGTTCCTGATTTACAGCATCTGCAGTTCTTCGGTTTTTTTTGAGTGGCAGATGGAGTTTAATTTGGATAAATGTGAGGTATTGCATTTTGGTAAAATGAACAAGGGCGGGGACTTATACAATTAATGGTAGGGCCTTGGGTAGTGTTGTCGACCACAGAGACCTGGGGGTTTGGGTACGTAATTCTTTAAAAGTTACATCATAGGTGGATGTGGTTGAGAAGATGTTTAGCGTGCTTGTCTTCAATGCTCAGACCTTTGAGTTTAGGAAGTTGGGATGTCATGTTGAGGTTGCACAGGACATTGGTGAGGCCTCTTCTAGAGTACTGTGTCCAGTTCTGGTCACCCTGTTATAGGAAGGAGATTATTAAATTGAAGAAGGTTCAGAAAAGATTTACAAGGATGTTGCCTGGACTAGAGGGTTTCAGAAGCTGGATAGGCTGGGACTTCTTTCACTGGAGCGTAGGAGATTGAGGGATGACCTTGAGAGAAGTTTATAAAATCATGAGGGGCATGGATAGGGTGAATAGCAAGGGTCTTTTTCGTAGAGATGGGGAATTCAAAACGCGGGGCCATACTTCTGAGGTGAGAAGAGAAATATTTAACAGGGACCTGAAGAGCAACGTTTTCAAACAGAAGGTGGTTCGTATGTGGAATGAGCTGCCAGAGGAAGTGGTAGATGGAGGTACAGTTACAACATTTTAAAAAAAAGAGATCTGGACAGATACATGAATAGAAAAGGTTTAGAGGGATATGGACCAAAGCAGGCATGCAAGACTAGTTTAGTTTGGGAACATGGTCAGATGAGTTAGACTGAAGGCTCTGTTTCTGTGCTGTATGGCTCTGTTTCTGAGACTGGAAGAGTTGAGCATATTAGCATTAAGTAGCAGTCAAGGAGAATGGGAAGGGTGTATATAAAAGTACAGCAGACTGAGAATGGAGATAGAGAGTGTAGGATGTAGCTTTTGGAGAATGACAGAGAACAAAAATATTCTGTCCCAAAACAGAAATCGCTGGAAAAGTTGAGCAAGTCTGGCAGTGCCCGTGGAGAGAGATCAGAGTTAACGTTTGGGGTCGAGTGACCCTTCCTCAGAATTTACAAACTGGAATTACTTGTTTTGAATTTCTGTTCAGTACCACCAGTTGTAACTGCTCTAAATTCCTTTCGCAGGATATTAGAAGAGGAGAGATAGTAGGAACTGCCGATGCTGGAGAATTTGAAATAACAAGTTGTAGAGCTGTTCATCCTTGTTATATTAGAAGAGGAGGATTGGCAGATAGAAATCTCGAACCGAACATCACATCGAGGTCTAACATCGATTCCTTGGAGTCTGTACTTTTTTTCAAAACAAGTCACTGGAAAAGCATCAAGATGCGGACATAGCTGGTGAGAGTGTTTCCATGCGCCGTTACAGAAAGATCTTTATTCAGTCGCGTAGACTGAAAGATAGTTTGCAACATTCACATCGGCCATATACTCCGCTCAATCAGTTCTGAGAGGCGGCGACACCATGGAGAAACTGTGGAAATGTGGCGACTGCGGGAAGGGGTTACGCTCCCCCTCGCAGCTGGAGAGCCATCGTCGCAGTCACACCGGGGAGAGACCGTTCAACTGCTCGGAGTGCGGAATGGGATTCAGTCGGCTGTTCAACCTCCAGACGCACCGGCGCGTTCACACCGGGGAGAGGCCGTTCGCCTGCCCGGAGTGCGGCGAGAATTTCACCAGGTCGGCTCACCTCCTGAGCCACCGGCGGGTCCACACCGGGGAGAAGCCTTTTGCCTGCTCCGAGTGCAGCAAGCGGTTCACCAAGTCGTCCAACTTGTTAATACACCGGCGGGTCCACACGGGGGAGAGGCGCTTCACCTGCTCAGTGTGCGGCAAGGGCTTCAGCAATTCGTCCAACCTGCTGAGGCACCAGCGGGTCCACACCGGCGAGAGGCCATTCAGCTGCTCCCAGTGCGGCAAGGGCTTCAGCAATTCGTCCAATCTGCTGAGGCACCAGCAGATCCACACCGGCGAGCGGCTCTTCATCTGCTCCGCCTGCGGGAAGGTGTTCGCTCAGTTTCCCGCCCTCCTCAGCCACCAGCGACTTCACAAGTGATCGCCAAGGTTCGGATTCTGCTGTTCGCTGAGCCCAGGGACACGGGTTCGATTCCAGCCTTGGGTGACCGCCTGTGTGGAGTTTGCACGTCGTCTCGGTGGGTTTCCTCTGGGTGCCCCGGCTTCCTCCTACAGTCCCGAGATGTTGAGTTGCCCATAGTGTGCAGGGATGTGCAGGTTAGGGTGGATCCGCCATGGGAAATTACCCATAGTGCCCAGGGATGTACAGGTTAGGGTGGATCCGCCATGGGAAATTACCCATAGTGCCCAGGGATGTGCAAGTTAGGGTGGATTGACCATGGGAAATTACCCATAGTGCCCAGGGATGTGCAGGTTAGGGTGGATCGGCCATGGGAAATTACCCATAGTGCCCAGAGATGTGCAGGTTAGGGTGGATTGACCATGGGAAATTACCCATAGTGCCCAGGGATGTGTAGGTTAGGGTGGATTGACCAGGGGATATTACCCGTAGTGCCCAGAGATGTGCAGGTTGGGATGGAGTGGCTGTGCTAAATTGCCCATAGTGCCTGGGGATGTGTAGGTTAGGTGGATTGGTGCAATTTAGCACGGCCAATCCACCCTAACCTGCACATCCCTGGACACTATGGGACAATTTAGCTTGGCCATAGGGTCCAGGAATGTCAGGTTGGGTGGATTGGCCATGGGAAATTCAGGGTTGCAAGGATAGGGTAGGGAGATGGGTCTGGGTGGGAGGCTCTTCGGAGTGTCGTTGTGCACTCCTCGATGCGCCGGAAGGCCTGCTTCCACACTGTAGGGATTCTATGATTTTAGAACTTGGCCGTATACATTCTGACAGTGGGTGAAGTGGGAGGGTCCGAGGGATTCTTTCAGCCTTACTGGCTACTCTCACCGACTTTGCTTCCAGTGAGGGTGATGGTCTTTAAGCCTGGGAGTGCGCATTCCCACGGAAATGACCCCAGAAGCTGTTGAAGGGTATTTGTTTAACCCTGGATAGTAAACAATGCTTTTCTTACCACCGCAGCTAGATGTAAAATCAATATATTTGTCTCTGTACATTGAGTCTCCAGCAGAAGACCAGCCCAGTCAACTGAATTGGACTCTCAGTATTTATTACTCCATCCTTCTGTCGTCATCTCCACACATCAGCATATCCTTCTATTCCTTTTTCCCCTCTTGTATGTATCCAGTTTCCCCTTAAACCAATTCCTGGTGATTGTGGGAGCGAATTCCACATTCTCATTGCTCACTGGCTAAAGAGGTTTCTCCCTTCCACAATTCACAAAACTTTTAAAAACTTGGAGCAGGTTACCCTTCAGTCTTCCCTTTTTCCAGAAAATAAAAAGGTCTGTCTAACCCTTCCTGGGAGCTAAATGCTGTCAATTCTGGTGTTTAGGCTTGTGACCCTGTGTTTCAGTTTTTTCGATGACTGGGTTTCCAGTTTTCTTTCATCTCTAGAGCAGGTGGGACTTGACCCTGGACCTCCTGGTCCAGGGCTAGAGACACTACTGCACAACAAGAGAGCCAATGACTTTTTTTCTTTTTGTTTCCTATTTTTTTTCTATTCTATGTTTTCTATTTCTTCTTTTCTCTTTTTAGTTTTTCTTTTTTTTCCTTCTTTTTCTAATTTAACCTATTTTTCTCATCAGCCTGTTCAGAGATGTTGTTACACATCTCTGGAGCAGGTGGGGCTTGAAACTGTACCTTCTGGTCCATGGGTAGAGACACGACTGCTGTACAATAAGAGGGCCAATGACTTTTTTTTCTTTTTTTCCTATTTTTTCTATTCTATGTTTTCTATTTCCTTTCATTATTCATTTTTTTTCTATTCTATCTTTTTACCTTATTTCTTTTTACCTTTTTTTCTTTGTCTTTTTACCTTTTTTTTACTTTTTTACTTTTTTTTTCTTTTTACCTTTTTGCTTTTTTCCATCAGTTTCTAATTTAACTTATTTTACTCAGCAAGCTGTTCGAAGATGCAATTATGCATCTCTGGAGCAGGTGGGACGTGCAACTGGACCTCCTGGTCTGGGGTAGGGTCAATACTGCTGCACAACAAGAGGGCCAATGACTTTTTAAAAAATTTGTTTTCTTTGTTTAACCTTTTTGTTGTCAACCTGTTCAGAGATGTTACTTCCCAACTCTGGAACAGTTAGGACTTGAACCGGGGCATCCCAGTCCAGGGGTAGGACACGACTGCTGCACTGCAAGAGGGTTAGTGACTTTTTTTTTTAAATTTAACCTTTTTTTCTCATCAACCTGACCAGAGATGTTAGTCCAGGGGGTGGGGACACTACCACTGCTCAACAAGAGGGCTCACTTTGGGTTCCATTTCTCTAAACGGAGATGACAAATGATGGCAGTGCTCCTGGTAGAGACTAACCCTGGTTTGAAATAAGTTTAATAGGATGTAGAAAAGAACCCTGTTCTCAAGGAAGGTTGGGAAATTCTTTTGAGAGGATTTATGAGAATGACACAAAGATGGGGAATAAGCCTGTTCAATCCATGCCACGCTCTGTAAATCAAACCAGTCAATCCTACTGCAGCATTCTATCTCCAGTCAGCCCCTCGCATTCATGACAGCTCTATCCAATTAACTGCAAGGCTCAAGTCATTTTCTTGGAAAGATAGAAGAGGCCATTCAGCCTGTCGGGTCTGCGCCGGCCCTCCAAAGAGCATCCTAACCTAGTCCTTCACCCTATCCCTGTAACCCCATGTTTACCACGTAACCCATCTAACCTGTACACTACGGGGCAATTTAGCATGGCCAATCCACCTAAGCTGCACATTTTTAGACTGTGGGAGGAAACCGGAGCACCCAGAGGAAATGCACGCAGACACAGTGGAGAGAATGTGCAAACTCCACACAGATAGTTGCCCGAGGGCGGAATCGAACTCAGGTCCCTGGCGCTGTGAGGCAGCAGTGCTAACCACTGAGCCACCGTGCTGCTTTTCCTCTTGGAATTCTGTCTAATTCCCTTTTGGAAGATACAGTGGAATTTGTTTTCCGTACATTTTTCAATGTTAGCCCTTGCTGTTTTATTTTTCATTACTTTTCCTTTATTCTTTTTTTCTATCAAATTTGGTTTGGAACTGGAAACTGAGCTAAAGATGACTTTTGGAATGTGGATAACAGCTGGTATTAAACAGAAAATTGACCAAACAAGCTTTTGTTTACTCGTGAGACCTGGAAGTCAATTGCACGTTGGTTCCTGATCAAAATGCTCTGTAGACGCTTCACTGGAGAAGAGCAGTTAACAGAAGTTGTCTATCAAGATCACGACCTGAGAATTGGTTCCAGCAAGTCTGGAAGAGACCTTATGCTCAAGTAATTGGCAGACATTGGTAACCGGGATTTCTTGAAGGCACAGCCAGCCTGTCAGGGTGTGGTCAGAGTTTGAATTAGGTTTTGGACAGTGACAAAGAATCTTGACGATGCAGAATGAAAATTTGAAATCTCCCTGCCTAACCACCCATGAGCAGCTCTTGGAAGCTCAGAGAATAAGAAACTAAGTTGTAAATATTTCTCCCTTTATCTGAGTGAACTGTAAAGGAGACCCTGTAGAGACTCAACAAAGAAACTACCATCAATGGCTGAATACATTCTGAAAACTATTCATTCTGGCAAGTTTTGCTTTTTTTTTATTTAATTCTTAACTGTGATTCATTGTCCTTCTGTCTTCCAGGTGAATGGGTCTGAAAATATATGGTTTGGGTTTATCGCACAGACCAATTAGATTATTTTGTTTAATTTTACTGTCCTAAAGTTACAACATTGTTAGTCAATTGCAAAATCTTTTGTTTAAAGTACAGACCGGTGCCTGGGATTAATTATTCGCCAAGTCTTGAATCGGTTCTTCAAAAGTCTGAAGAGAAGCTGTGGGGTTAATCTTGATGGTCTTTGAAGGTATTAATTTTGCTGTGTCGTGAGTATGGAGGTAGAAAGTCTAATTGAGTTTAGCTGCCTGTCTCCGATAATTTGGGAACTTTATTCCTCGATCTTGGTAGGCAGAAAACATAGGTCTGAAGTTGGATTTTGGTGTTCAAACTCCAGGTTTGTATTCTGACTTAGAGTCATACAGTCAGACAATATGGAAACGGACCCTTTGGTCCAACCAGTCCATGCCGACCATAATCCCAAACTAAAATAGTCCCTGCGCTTGGCCCGTATCCCTCCAAACGTTTCTTATTCATATACTTATCCAAATGTCTTCTAAATGTTGTAACTGTATCCACATCCACCACTTCCTATGGAAGTTCATTTCACACGTGAATCGCTTTCAGTGTAAAAAAAAAAGTTGCCCCTCGTGCCTTTCTTAAAAATCTTTCTCCTCCCACCTTAAAAATATGCCCTCTAGTCTTGAAATATTAAGGAAAAGACACCTGCCATTCACCTTATCAATACCCCTCATGATTTTTTAAACCTCTATAAAGCCACCCTTCAACGGAGAGGGGCACAGAGAGAGAGAGAGAGAGAGAGAGAGAACAGGAATTTAAAGGAAAAATGATGCAGTTTAGACAAGTTAAAACAAAGGTTTCCGAAGACTTAGAAGATAAAATTTTTAGTTGTAATCCACAGTTCATTCAGAAGATGTTTAAGGTTATGCAAGCTTTACCAATATTTGAAGAGAAGGAATCAATGGAAGAAATTTTCACGTCATTTGAGAAGGGAGCAGCACACAATTGAGCAGGCCAAAAGCAGTTTGGACCATGCTCATGCCCATGCAAAGTAAATTAACTCAGAAAGCACAAGAGATTTATGTGTCCCTGTCAGAAAGCTGGAAAGGGCCATTCTAAGTGCATACGAGCTGGACCTAGGAGCAATCTGACTTTGATCAGATGGGCTGTGGAGTGGCAGATGGAGTTTAATTCAGATAAAAGTGAGCTGCTGCATTTTGGAAAGGCAAATCAGGGCAGGACTTTGACACTTAAGGGTCTTGGGGAGTGTTGTCGAACAAGGAGACCTAGGGGTGCAGATTTATACCTCCTTGAAAGTGGAGTCGCAGATAGACAGGATA